AAAAATACATAAATGGAAAAATAAGAATGCAAAATGTGCAATTCAAAGATATAAAAAGTAAAAATACAAAATGAAAATGCACAGATACAAAATGTAAATGCATGTATGAAAAGGTGTTACTTAAGAGTGATCATCTTAGAACAGATTTCATTGAACACAAAAGTTTCGGTACATCAAACAAAACTTTTACATGTAGGGGACAACTTTTAATCCTAACTTCAACAAAACTTTACATATAGGGAATAACTTTCCCATTTTCTTCTCTAAAATCAAGTTAGATTATCAGCTTATGGGCCATATTGCTTGTCTGGACTGCAGCTTCTTCCATGACATTCTGGGATTCTTTCATCTCCTATGTTAATTCTTGGAGTTGATCATTTTCCTTTGTAAGAGAACATTTGTGTTCAAAAAGTTTTTGGAGAAGATCTTCATGTATGTTGCAACTCTTTCTCAATTTGGTGACCCCTACTATCCACTCTTCTGGGGTATTTCCTATACCAGCATTTTGAAAGGCTTGACTGACCTTCTGGAAGTCTTCATGTATGGTTTCCATTTTAGTGCTCAATTTATCATTTTCAATCTTCAAATGACGTATTTGAGCTTCAAACCTCAGCAAATCTTCTTCTCTCTGGGTGCCCCTACTGATATTCTTACCTTTGAAGACTTTTGGTATTAATCTATCAGGACCCTCGGTTACCAAACTAGGTCGATCATTTACCATAAATTGTAAGGTTCCATGATCCAAAAGACTTTGGACTCGGCGTTTGAAGGCAAGACAATTCTCGATGGTATGTCCTTGAGCTCCGGCATGATATTCACAATGAACGTTGATGTCATACCAATTTGGATACGGAGGTTGGAACGGTTTTATATAATATGGATCCACTTCTCGTGCTTCAAGTAACTTTTCATACAACTCTTTATATGATATAGGTATAGCATCAACATGAGAATCGCCTTTTGTCTTGAATTGAACCTGAGTTTTAGATATCGGGAGCATACTAAACTTCGATGATTTCAGGTTACATGATTTCTTCTCTTCTCTGGAAGCTTTTACAATTGTCATCATTTCTTTGGTATCTCCAGATGATTGGTGAATACGGATGATGATTGTCTGTAATTTCTCCAATTGGTTAAGATCCGAGGTCCCTTGCATATATGAAATTGCAGAGTTAGGTTCATTGAGCTCTCTCTCTTTCTGTGCTGGAATCTCTTTTCCTTTGGCCAAAACAGATATTCTATCCATCATTTTGGACACCTGCTCTCTTATTTCTCGTATCTCCTTTTGTTCTTCAATGGTCATACGATCTTTGGGTGCATAGCTTGCTTCTATCCTCAGAGTTTTCTCAGGATGTCTTTTCTTGGCCGCATCATATTTTGTTTGATCATAGAACTTTTTGTCCATTTATGATTTCTTTCTAATTTGATGAACAGTCTTTTCAGTTAACACCTTTTGGTCATGATCATGCAATGCAAACAAAAGAAAATAATTTAAACAAATTAGAGCAAAAATAACATACATGGGAAAATAAGAAAAAAATAAAATGGTTAATACCAATTAATTGGAAAAAAAAATTATTTATCATGGTATATAATAAATCCTAACCTCATGCTTTCTAGTTCCATGCTTTGTTTGGAAAAATTAACCTAACCACATGATTTCTAGTTCGCATGCATTTATTCAGGGAGAAAAAAAATAATAATAAATTAAATAAATTAAAAGCTATAGCTTATTTCTCCTTTGTGTATACCTATGAACAGAGGTTCAGTACTGTCTTAGATTAGGAGAAGTTCTAAGGTTTATTATATGCAGAGTTTCAATTCTAGGAGTAAAGGTACTCGAATTGTCCTTGTTGATACCCCCTTGGGCTGTCAACCCTCAATCCTAGTCCATTACAGACTTAAACGGATCGAGTTCAATTTGAGGGGACACATTTCTCTATACCTGACACGGAGAATAAATTCTCACGAAGACATAGAGCATATGAACCCCGAAAGTTACTTGCTAGGTCTGACACGGAGAATAAATTCTCACGAAGACGTCGCTTTCACTCCCACTTAAAAGGGACAAACTCAATTATAGAGCTTTATGTTATGCAATGCAAGTGTTGTGTGTGAGGAGAAATGTTCATATCTTTGACAGAAAAATAAATAATAAAATACTTGTAATATAAATAATATATATAAATACTATAAAAATAATATGTATATATATAAAAAAAATTATAAATTAAATATATGAATTTTTATAATTAATAGAGACAATTTATAATTGATTTTTAAAAGTTTGACCGGTCCCCAGCGGAGTCGCCAAGCTGTCGTAACCGGTTTTCGTCCGGGCACGAAATATTTACTCGGCGGGAAAAATAATGTGAATAAATGGTTTTTAAAATAATTTGGGAGTCGCCATCGGCCTTTTGGGTCAGGTAGGTCGAATACCTAAAAATTATTTTTTAAAAGAGTTTTAAGAAAACATCAATTAAAAAAAATGAAATAATCTGCGTTTATAACCAAAAATTCGTTCTTTTTAAAAAAGGATTCGTGGTCGATTACGTTTAGGGAAGGATTAGCACCCCTACAACGCCCAAAATTGGTACTTTTTAATTATAAATTGTCTTTATTATTAAAAATTAAAAAAATTCAAAATATATTTAATTTAAATTTATATTATTTCAAAATTAAAAAATATTTAAAAATATCGGAAAAGAACTTCTAGGTGCCTTAAGACAGCTCTTTTCTTCAATATTAAAAAATAAATAAATGACAAACATTTTTTATGACAAAAATTTATTTTAATATAGTAAAATATTTATTTATTCAAAAATATCAGAAAATAGCTTCTAGGTATCTTAAGACAGCTCTCTTCTTTGATATTAATAAATAAAAATATATTAAAATTTTAATATTTTAAATAAAACTAAATTATAATTTTTATAATATTTAATTATTTAAAATACCAGAATAGGACATCCAGTTATATTAAGACTGCCCTTTTCTTTGATATCGAAAATAAATAAACATTATTATTTAAAATATATATATATATATTTATATGACTAAAATAATAATAAAATAATAATTAAAGCAATAATTAAAATATAAAAGTAATAACGAAATAATATTGTAATTAAATAATGATCAAAATAAAAGATATTCAAAAATTATAAAACTAAATATAAAGTATTAAAAATAAAGATAATAATTTGAAATATTATGAAAGATAATGATTAATAGTGTAATTTAGCCTAATTAATTAATACGTGATTAAAATAATAATTAATAAACTATGAAGGACCAAATTTGATATTTTCCTAAATATATATAAATACAGTTAATGGTTAAAATATAATAAAATAAAATTTAAACACTAAATTAAAATGATTAAAAGTCAATTTCAGTGACTAAATTGCAAAGTTACAGAACTATAAGGGTTGCGGAAAGGGTTTACCCTTTCTTAAATTACACAGATACCCTCCCCAAAACGACGTCGTTCGGGGGAGGGTTTATAAAACACAAACGCCTGGCCCGAAGGGCCAAGCTTTCCCATTTCTTTCTTTTCTTTCTTTCTCTGAATGAGAGAACCAGAGTTCTCTCTCTGGTTTCTCTCTAGTTTCCCTCGTCGGAGGGAAACCGGCAGCCATAGGCCACCGTGCTTCGCCGCCGGCCACCGTCGCCGGCCACCGTAAACGGTGGCCGGAATTTACCAAAAACACCCCCAAAGCGTAGATCTAAACGTCCTAAGGTCCGATCTAAGGTTATTTTAACCTAAAACCCTATAATACATCGTAAATCTACGATTTTCACCTTCGGTATTTCGGTTCTCCGGCGATGTTTGGGGTTCTCCGATGACAGAGTAAGTTCCTCTGTTCTCTTCTTCTTCTTTTTTTTACTGATTTGTCGTTGATTGGGATCGTTGGTAGCTTTCTGTCTTCCTTTTTTTTTTCTTTGCTGGATGTCCTCATTTCTCTCGTGTTCTCCGTTGTTCTCCTCCTTTTGTTTTTGCAGATGTGGTGGCTTTTATAGCCACCACCGAGGCTCTCGTCGGACCGGATAATAGAGGGTCGAGTTTGGTGAGTCACCATAGCTATGGTGGTGACTCACCATAGAGCTCGACGTGGGCGGCTGTTATCGTTGCAGCAGAGCTTCTGGAGTCTTCTATTGGAGTCATCGTGGCACTGAAGCGTCGGCAAGGCGGCTGGAACTCACTGGAACTTTGGAGCGGCGGCGGCGTCTGGAAGCTAGGGTTTAGACAACCCTAGCTGAATGTTACAAACCCTAAAGGGTTTGGGTTCTGCTGGGCCAATTGTAATCGGGCCCCAGTTTTGGGCTTTGTAATATTTTTATTATTATTATTATTATTTTATTTAATGATAATAATATATATATATATAAATATATTTTATTTAATAATAATAATAATTAAAATAATATAATGAAAAATTAGTGTCTACAAATATGATATTCATTTTCAAATAAAATAGTTTCAATCGAATATCAGTTATCATAGACAACCTTTTACAAATAGAGAAACAAACGTACACATCAAACTTCAAAGAAGAAGAGGACAGAGTGAAACTTGCTACACGGGCAGAGAGACGGAGGGAAAAAATTTTACACTCAAATGCATAAAATTAGTTGACCATTTTAATAGTTTACAATGTATATTGAAATATATTACCCAAGAAACATATAGAAAATAACAAATTTACCCTTAAATAAATGATATTCAACTTATATATTTTAATAGCAGTATAGAAATAATTAATATTAAAATAAGATATTTTTTTTGTCATTACCGTCTGCTAGTTATACATCCTCTTTTTGTCTCTTCAAACGTTGTTTATGGTAATTTATGATTTTGGGAACCAATTTGAATAAGAAAGGTAAATTGGCTTGGGAAATTTCAGGAACTAATACAAAATAATCAGAAATCTCAGATTGAACCCAAATCATTAAATGTTCATGCAGCAAGGGAGGATTCAAATGAATAAAAGCTTGTAAACCAAATGAATCAATTGGCCCAACTGATTCAACGCATGCTTATTACACTCAACCAAGCACTTAAACAGATTAAGGTCAAAGGTATAACGATATTACCCAAATTCGTGTCAATTCTGATACACAAGGCTCATATATATTGAAGCTTCCATACTGATACAAAAAATGGAAGAACAACGTAATTCCCAGTTCGAGGTCTTGTTCAAGGGAGGAATGGATTGTGGGAAGGGCACGTCTCTTTTTGCTTTCTATAAGCCCTGAGAAAAAGCATAAACCGACTATTTAGACTATAATAAAAGGTGGTATTCACACACACAAAAACCATCCTTCATCATGCTGTTGGTTACCTGGTGGCGTTTAATCCCCCGAGTCCAACAGTTCCCAGAACTATAAGAAGGAAAGGAATCTGAATCAAAGCACGGTTTTTTCTTCCCCCATGAGCCTTTGGTACTCCCGTTCTCGCAACATGTGAATACGTAGCTAGAGAAGAAAGACAATGTCTAAGTGGCAGAACAAAACGAAAATCTAGTTGCAAATGCTTTTGAACAAGAAATTACCCGAAAATGAACCTCCTCCTCCTGAACCTGTGACAATCATTAAGATGAATTTGAATAGCATGTAAATGTAATTGTACTCATTAATGTAATTAGTCACAATACAGAAGCATTCGAAATTAGGTTTGCAAACTCAATTCCATAAGTTATGCCCACGAATATTGGCATCTACATCGAAGTGACTAATCCTTAACCAGTTTCTGGCCAGTTGATTATTAGATTCAATCCCATTTAGTGGAAACCTAGGAATCAGGATAAAACCAATTTAACAAAGCACATAAAAGATGTAGATCGTAGCAACCTATCAAATACTAAAACAAGGTGTTTATCGAGGATGTAAAGAAGAGAATATAGGCTAGATACAACCAACTGTAGTGATAGATGCAGACAGTGTATTGAACTACTAGATCTGTTCCCATCTGGTGGGAATGGGATAAAAAATTACTAATTTATAAAAGTAAATGAAGAAAAGAGCTGGAAACCATCATCAAGATATCACAATTTTAATAAAGCAAATCCATAAATGCCAACAAATCATGTAACAAAAGATGGAAAATAAACATGGGCACATAAAATGAAAGAAGGGAGAGGGTATGAGCTGGATAGCGCCAAATCCGGTGATTGATGCAGAAAGATGTGCTCACCTACTAAAGGATTGGCATCGAAAGAGAATTAAACTTGAAATAATATCGGTGACATGGTAATACCTTCATAATCATATATGTCAAAGCAAACTACAATATAATATTAGTATTTGACATCAAATTACTTTTTTCTTTCTATCAATATCCTGTGGAAATAGATATCTCATGGCTTACTACAGGTTTGATGAGCCACATGAAAGAGAAACTAGTCCACCGAACCATCGTCAAAAATATCAAGACAATCATCAGTGGTAACACCTCTGGTAGTAGGAATAAACATCCAACAGTTCATTCGAAGTAGCTAATGTGATAATTTCTCTAGGTCTATTTTCTATACTGTTGTGTTCATCCATATCATCTCCATAAAATTTTTCAACTTCATTATGTAACGATCTCCTAAACCAGGAATAGCATTAAAAATTGGAAAATTTTCAAATCAAATTACATATTTCTTAAGACTTAGGTTAATGAACACAATTTAACGGGAATGAAAGTTACCTCATCTTCTAGCATGGCCTGCTTCTCGGACTCAACAAGCCAGTCATCTAAACACTTCCTAACACGGCACTGTCAAAGGAAACCAACTTTTCAGGCTCCTTTCATAGTTGACATTCTCTCAATCTCCTGAGAAAAAAAGCTATGTCTTTTGCTGTGAACCTGATCAAAATGCTCACATTCAAATCATGAACATGTCTAGCTTAACATGCTTATGGCAATTCATTGCAGCTCTAAGCAACTTATTCCACTTTGTTGCCACCATGAAGCTAATGATGAAACAGTAACCTGTCATATCCCTCAGAGATCCAGGTTATTTACTTTTATTACTCAAATCATTGCACTAGTCTTTAAAGCAAGCCTGAGCTAGTTATCAACACTGATCAAAGTCACTTTAGCAGCCAAGGAGACAGCATAAAAAGGCAAGAACGTATGATCTATAGTTTTCCAAGTTCAAACAACAAGCTATCATGTCTCCACAAAATGTGCTACCTTTGGAGAACATTAGACAAGAGATTTCTTCCCATGTTAGACTGGACACTGCCCTATTCTAGAGTTTGCAAACCATAATTTCTTGGAAAATTCTTAATATTTTCTCAAAAGTAGGAGAATTACCACTGTAGACATGTATAAGCTTCTGCAATCTGCAAAATATGCACTTGTACAGGTTAGATTTCTCACAACCATAAATGCAATGGAACTATTCCTAAATTGCAGAATGCATAATTAAAAGTACCCACACTATTATCTCATTCTGTTCCTAGAAGAAAGAAAATTATAAGGTTCAGGTGTGATAGGCAAACTACACAAGCGGAAAGACTTAATATTCTTACTAGTTACTGCATTGATTACTTGTTTTCTGGTATGTTGGCTCTCGTCCAGAATGGCAACCTCCATAAGAGGTACCATAATTTAGATAGTAAATGGCTCAAACGCCAGTCTAAAGTGATAGATTTCTTTGACAGTGAAACAACTATATAAAAAGACTAAACCCAGCCTTTATCGTGTAAATTTTAGTTTCTCTCCCAAATCCACAATTAGACTTAACAGGTTCAACAGTAATATAAATCCAAAAAAACTCATGAAAGAAAATAAAATACAAATAGATCTAAATACTCATCAGATCATACCACTCTAAATCACCATGAATATAAACAAAATACAGTACATACCCCTAAGCAATCCGGCTCCCTCCCTCCAAAGAATTTTAATAGAAAAAAGAACCAAGAAAGACTCCCAAGTCCCAAGTAGTAGATCATAGAAAGAGTAGAATCATTCTACTGGCAGTCACTAAACTGGTCTAATCTAATCTCTCAACTCTTACTTTGAAAAAATGTTTTCTCTGTCCATATCAAGCTCTAAAATACTTAAACTTGTCTCAAAACGCTCCAACTGTTTCTTCACGGTTTCCTAGCAAACACATGACTAATATACTAAAAAAAGGTGAAATGTTTGAAAGCATATGGATTGCTTACCAACTTGAACTTAGACTCCGCCGAAGGCTTTTGGTGAACTGGAAACAAGTCAGGATGCGACTCCCATACTTTCTTTCTATAAGCCGCTTTAATCTAAATTCATTAAAGAAGTTAATCAATTTACAAATTCATAAAGAAAAAAGAAAAGATTGAGGAAATTTTTTAGTCTAGCTGATTGGAAGAATCAAAGCCACAATCTCCAAAAGGAAAACAACTAGAATTCATAAACGTCAACCCAATTCAACAAAGAAAAAGAGATGAAAAATCCCTAAAATAATCAAATAATTAATAGTTAAATAAAAAAGTGAAAAGGAAATTTGAGAAAATAAAAAACCTGAGAAGGAGTAGGGCGAGAATTCGGGGGGAAGCCTAGCAAGAGCCTGGCTTCAACGCCTTGCATTTCTGAATTTTCAGTGAGGGTGAACTTTTCGGTGCTGGATTTTTTTTTAATATAATGTATAATTAATTAAATTAAAAATACCCATAATTAAAACTCCAAGCGGTGCTGGGTACGTGTCGAAAGCCAAACCTAAAAGCGTGGCAAACTGAATTCCTTCCAAGCGTGGTAAAATCAAGAATTTTACCAAGTTTAAAAAAACATGGGTAAACTATATGTTTGGTAACCCATTTATTATTTAGTTTCTGTTTTAGTAATCCAACTATTAGTTTTTTAAGATTATATCTAACTTTACATTTTGGTTCTATTTTAGTCACTTATTGTTAAAAAATTAATAATAACACTAACGTATTACTATAAGATAATATCATGTCAACATTTAAAAAATAATTTAAAAAATATTACATAAATATAATCGTTAATTTTTCATACTTTTTCTTCCCATCCATTGCCCAAGCCATTACCCTCATAAACACTCCTTAAGAGATTTAACCTCCTTTTTCATTCCAACATCTCTTCCTTTCTGTCTTAATATCACTTATCACTCATATTTGAAGAATCTTCCATGATAAACCCCCCAAAATGAAAAATAAAGAATATAAGAAATTTCTTGAATTTTATATTGTGAATGAAAATGTCTTACCTAATTGCTTCCAAAAGTATCCTCAATGTTTGGGAAAGGTTAGCAAAGGTGGCAAGTTTTAAGCTTAAAGGAAGCTTAGCTATAAAGGAGATGGGGAAGAATGAAGAAGATCAAAGGGTGGAGGTTTAGGTAGTAAAAATGATAAAAAGAAAACCATGTAAAATGAATAAAAATAAATGTGTTATATGCTTTGGGTTGGGCCTCTCTATTGGGCTTGTGTCCTCAACTTCAGATTTCATTTGATTCTTTTAAGCTAACGGGTCAAGGTTTATCATTTGAGTCCAATTCATTTTAAATTCTTATTTGAATTAAACTCTAGAATTTGGAATGTTACAGTTGTTAAATCGATTGGGTTCTCTAATAGGGTTAAACCTTTGGGTGGACTACTAATTTAAGTGTCAACTTTCTTCCCCTTTTGGTATAAGTGCACACTTCTTGTTTGATTTAAAATACAAAGAACAAATATGACATAAATCAAAAAATGATATTGTTCAAGTATAATTTTTCTTATGCATAAAATGATGTCATTTTAGGCATTGAATTTTAGAGATGTATGAGTTTTGCCACTAAATTTTTGTACATTTTATTTTTTTGGCATTACATCTTTTTATTTGTTGTCGTCAGCCAATCATTGTCCATCATTGGTAATCTTTCGCAATAAGATTGAGTACCAAAATGTTTGCATTTCACTCATATTTATTTTTTTAGAATTGATTTTCCATGAAACCCACTTCAAGATCTATGAAATCAAATTGACAAATCTACTATTTTTAAGGGTTTGGGGGGTTTCTAAGATTCGAGAGATTTGTGGTGTTTGTTCGAATATTTGAACGATGAGAAGCATTATTTCGATAAGACAAACAACATATTTCAAAACTAATATCATCGGACGATAACCGGAAAAGATCATAGTATTAGAACATCAAACTTTTAAATTGATTTTCAACAATTTTAAGTGGGTTTCCTGAAAAACCAATCCTAGTAGAAGAAAGAGGAGTAAAATGCGAACATTTTAATAGTGATATTGTCGAGAAGATGATTGATTGGTTATCAAAGACGATTGAAAAAATACAGTGCCAAAAAAATAAATTATTTAAAAGTATAGTGATAAAATCGATATACTCCTAAAATTCAATGCCTAAAATGATGACAGTTTGGGCATCAATAGTCATCACAAAAATTATGTATTTTGTCAACATCATCACAATTGTAAAAAGATTTATCTACTTCATTATGTCGCTAAAAATTAACGACCAGTGATATAATTAAAATCAAAATCAAAATTAAATGCTATAATTATAAAAAATAAAAGTTTAATTGTATAAATGATAAAGTTTAGTAATATATAATATAGTTTATTCTAAAAATAGAATTAAAAAAAAAAAACTAGTAGTAACATAAGGTTAGGGACGTCAATTGGGTGTGGCAAGTGTCGGGATGCTCCTCCCGTATCTATCCCAATCAGGAATTTTCATAGCTATATATCTCGCAATTCATTACGGATATAAAATCCAAAATCATTTCTATCTCGTGATTCGTAAAATTAAAACCATCCTCGCTCTGCAATCCACGTGGATCTTGAGACTTACTTACCTCTGCTATATTGATTTTGCCATACACTTCATATAATATATTTATATAATGAATTTATAAAAATTATTTAAAAAAATATAAATCATTTTAATTTTATAAAGTAAATATAATATACATCTCCTTCAAACTCCCATCATATGTATGACATCATTTTAACTATCATCATTTTAAAAAATAATAAATTATCACCATTTTTTATTTGATAAACTAATATAACTTAAAAATAAATTTAAAAAAATTCAAAAAAAATAAAATCTTTATATAATAACTAAATAAAATTTTGAAGTGAGACGAGTGATAATAAAACTAATAAAAAATATATATTAATTTGTACACCACCATCTACCTAATATTTATCATCTCCGTCACATCACCTATAAAATTTATACTCATCTCCATGTTCAGGGAAAAGGTTTAGCAAATTAAGCCAAAATTGTACATATCAATTAAGCATTTTCTCTTTTTGGACCGAACTTCAAACTTGTAGCTACATACAAATAACGAGCACATGAATCTAATTATTTTTTTAATAAAAGGAACCTAATTAATTAGCATTACTTGCCACATATAATTCTGCAAAAATACTTACACTGTACATGTAATCTCTTCATAGCTTAAAAATTATTTAATTAATGTAAAAAATAAAAATAATCCCCAACACAAACAAATACTTGAAATGTTTGTCCACCAATTCATTCTTACACCCCACTCTAAGCTTTCGCTATGCTTAAACTGCATGTGACAACATATATATATATATATATTTTATATATATTTTATATATAAGTATCTGAAACATTTTCTTAAGGTTAAAAGCATGGGAAAATATTGAAACTGCAAGGCCGATTGAACCACTCACCAACTATCAATAGACTGTTTGTATTAAAATTCTTCTATACGATCATAAAAGAGATGCACGTTGTGTTAGGGGGGGGGAGCTCCTTCCTCTCCAACGGCCTAATTAAAAATATCCATTATCCTGAGCATGGCAAGCAAGACCCTAAGTTTAAATTAATCAGCCAGGCTTGTTACCGCATGCCTTGGTGGAAAAAGTGGTACATGATTGTTGAGCTTGCGGTGATCCTGGTGCTGGAAGGGCAGGCACTGGCACCCCATTGGAGGAATTGTTGTTTTCATCGTTGTTGACGTTACTGTTTCCGTTGTTTCTCGGTGGCGCTCCCATGATCGTCGAAATCGCTGCTGCTAATGCTGCGGTAAAGTTCGGATCCGAGGCGATGGCTGCGGTGACTGCTTCGACCATGGAAGCTGGACGTTGCCCTAACTGCATTATCGGTGATGGAGGTACCTTGGGAGGAGCGAACATAGGGTTCCCTAAAATCTGCGGATAACCGTACAAAGGTAAAGGAAACGAAGCTGTGGAAGGCGGTGGACGTAAGAATGGGACGGCATTGGGGCCCTGAGTTAAGTCAAGGGTTATGGTTGGAAACGGGGCGGAGGCCGAGAGGGTGGCCATCGACGATGCGTAAGGTAAGGAAGGGAAGTAGGCAGAACTTGGTAGGCCATCCTTGCTTTTGGTTGAACCCGATAGCAACATGGCTGCTGCGGCAGACGTTGTGTTAGCCATAGCTGTGGCTGCAGGTGGAAGAGGGTGATTGTGGTTCCCTTCGTATGTTGTTATGAGAACGCTTTTATCATCCGCACTTCTTTGCACCTGCTTACGGACCGGGCAGCCAACGGCCATGGTGCAACGGTAGTAGGCTCGAGGACAAGGGTTCCCCTTTGCCATCTTTTGACCGTATTTCCTCCATTGGCATCCATCAGTTATCTGAACCAAGAAATATAGAACGTGAGTATCCATGGATGGAAAATTTATAATACTGTAATTTATTAACTTCGTACTCCCTAGCATAAAATTCTCTATCTGTCGGGATACGGATAAATATCTAATACGAATTGTGCTACATTAGTTGTATTACTTACCAAGGGAGCTTCTGATCTTGCTCTAACAGACACCCTAGCCTTCCTAAAAGGAACTTCAGAGCCTTGGTCTTCACTCTTAGACTGATCTAGCTTTGGACTCTTGTGTGACCCCCAGCTTTGAGATGATTGATCGGTACCACCATCGTCGATCGAAACGTGCTTTCCCGGCATATTTTGACCCATCCGATGGTCACGTTCATTCGATACGACTTCCATGGTGTTTTCTTGTGATGCTGTCTTGTCGTCGGATACGGAAGGTTCGTTGACATCTAATGCAGTCGATGGCCGTGGGTCCATGAATTGTTGGACTGACATTATGGTACTCGACATCCCATTTACTGCATCCTTCTGCTCGAAAACCAACTGTTTTGATTAGCATTAACCAATCACCACCATGAATATCAAACAACAAAAATATATTTATGATATAATCTAAATATCAGAAATGAAAGTACACAGATAAATTATCTTTGCACACGAGTGGCCGGAAAATACGGTAAAATAGGCAAAAGAGGTTGAGCTAACGCCGCCTATTCTATCGTAGTCTTTTACTCTATATCGTTTAATAGGACAACTGGCGGCACATGCTGAATCATATAAATTGGGGCATCGATTTGTTTATGAACTTAATGAAATTTTTCACTTTAATTTACAGCCTAGGAGGGTTTCCAAACTCCAATGTCGCATTGCATAATAATAATATTAAGAAAGGTTGAAACTGAGATTAGAAAAGATATATTACCAATAAAATATTGAATAAAAGATTCCAATTCAATTAAAGCACGTGAACCAATTTCTTTTATGTGTTAAAAGAAACCCATGAATCAGAGCCCGGGAAACTGATGATGGATGACTATGGTGTAATCAAATATGTTGTGTTTAAACATAAATCGAACCTGTTCTCCTTGATTTTGGTGTGCCTGTTTTTGCAGCGCCATGCATAGTTGACCTTGTAGTTCATTGTAGTTTTTGGTAATCTGATCCAAAGTGCTTCTTAATCTCCGGTTCTCTTCGTTCAACGTTTCTAACTCGATTTTAAGAGCACCCTCCTGAAGAAAACCCCCAAATTTTCTCAACCAGTTTAAAATCAGAAAACAAACAACCAGAAAATAGCTCCATGTTAAGAATTAAAAAAATCTTTAGAAAACTTACTTCAGCGTTGCTGTTAACAGGTTTCTCTTCATTTGTTGATCTTGAAACTCCTGGGCTTGAACTAAGAAGGTTTAATTCAATCTGAAACAGCATAATATTAAGTCAATGATGAGTGATCCTAAATTTTCATAATAATTCCAACTAGTATCATATATATATTATCACCAGATAGGTTAAATGAATACATGAAGAAAATGAAGAAAAAAAGTTGGGATAATGATCCAAAACCTTACGTTTGCAACCGAATCAACAAACGAAGACGATCCATTATTATTATTATCATCATCAGTCTTGCTCTCTTGATGATGATCATGCGATTGATATTGAGTAGAAAAGAAACTCATTTCCTTGATGTGTGGTTTAACGTGATCGCTAGAATCATCAAGGGTACGATCGGGCACACCAGAATTCTGTCGGAGGAAGTCACCGGAGTGCAAGAACGTCAGTTCTCGACGGTGCTGCTTCTCCATGACTAAACCAGAAAATTAAGGGGGGAAATACTAAAAGAAAGGAGAAAGAAAAGAAGAAGAAGAGTAGTTATATAGCTTTTTCAAGCTCTCAACAAGAAAAGAAGTATTTACAGTCAGTAGAAGATATATATAATTAAGTAATAATAATTCCAAAAATGAGCAATGGGGTTAGCTTTTAAGGGTGGCCCAGAAAGAAAGAAAAAACTTATTTTAAAAGAGATATTATAGAGAGAAAGGTAAGCGAAGACCAGCCGTTTTTCTCGCGGGGGATATGACGTAGCAGTTGATGCATAAGGATACGTGGCAAGTTCTGGGTGAGGTAGCACGGAGCGAGGAGTGAAACGGTGGGGAGAAAAGGACGGGAGGAGACGGAACGGCGTTAAAGATAACGTGGTGTGGATTATGGGATATTTTTTAATTATTATTTTTCATTTCTACTGCTGTTAATTTGGAAGAGAGGATTAGGCCACGTGGGAAGAGCGTCGTGGTGAGGTCAAGGCAGTTGACGCCCGACTGAATCTGACGGTGGTTATTTTAGGGATTAAAATTAAATAAATACAAGGGGTCTATCTGGTGGGCATTACCTAAACCACAGACTTGTGAATCACGTATTATATAAATTTTAATATATATATTTATAATGATTTTAAATATTTTTATATTAAATCCTTTTTATTATATTTTATTTTTTTAATATTATAATCCTATGGTGATTAGTGGATTTTTTTCTATGTCTAGAGAAATAATTACATTTAAGAGTATTCCACATTTCATTTATAGAAAAGATTATTATAAAAGAAATTAGTCTTTATCAGAATTATATACTTGCATTTGGTTTAAGAACATTTCATTAGGGATTAATTAAATATTTCTTACAATATTTTTTTTAGAATGTCATTCTCATTATTTTCTTAGGTATTAAAATTTTGTCTCTTTAAGATAAGAATATTTCTGACATGATATAATAGAATTATTTCGAAATTATTCTTCTTCTTGTGCATAATTATAACAGGTGATTAAAAATAATAGTATTCGAATAATTGAGTGACTAAATATGTAATTTATCCTAATAAATATATATTTTTGGGGGGCGAGGCGCGTCGGCATCCCCGTTGTCCGAGATTATATGAAATTGCAAAAAAATAAAACTTTAAATGAGTTAAATTAAAAGTTTTAAATTTAAGAAATTCAGAAAGTTAAAACATAATTAGTCTATTTCACGTATCTAATACTTTCTTTTGATCAAAAGAAAACTCGAGGATCATTTAACACGTGTAGAGTTGGTAGTGATATTAATATAGGTTTTAGTCAGAAGAGTATCATAAATTATTTTTAATTTTAGCTAAGATATTATTTATAGTAATTAATATTTTATTATTAAATAAACGAGTCTTATTTTAGTTGATTAATAGTATCATAATATTTTAAAATTTATAAAGTTAAATATGTTAAAACATGTAATAGCCTTTTATATACATGTCGACATCGTTTTTTGTACGACGAGGAAATACTGATAACGACTTGGGGGTTTTTCTTTTGAAAAGAGTTTCGAAATGTGAGGAGTCGTCACCAATCATTTAAGGTGTGATTGGGACACCATAAAAACGGATGATTTTAATAAAATATTTTATTTTTATCAAAATACTGAGTTTTAAGGTATGCGAAAATCCAGAAATCAGGTTCAGGAGTCGGTTACGCGTGGAGAAGGATTAGCACCTCCACAAGCGCCCAAAAATTTGGTTCATAGCTGATTACCCTATATTTAAAATCAGAAAGTTCGAATGTTAATTTAAAAATCATTACGGATGCAATGTTGAAGAGGGTATTCGTTTATTAAAGCCGATAGCATTCGCCCCTAGCATAAACACCGAAGATCAACTATTGTGCTTGATAACCAAATATTGCCTCGATATTTTGGAAATCATGATGCGATTCTGAAAAGGATGTCGACCTATTTAAGGAATTACCAGCAGACACCTCTTGAGCATACTTACAGGAGATATATCATTAATTCCCTAATAAATAAACATTGCCTTAGATTTAAAAATGAAATGCAATCAAACAAATTTTTATTCATCATAATTAAGGTAAGGGCAAATTAAGGCTTTTTCTATCCTAAAATGTCAAATTATGAAAGTTAAAGAACCTAAAGGCACAAATCTAGAAGTGTAGGTTCTAATATTAACCATATTTGATTATTAAACCAATTATTGAATCAAATAACCGAGATGGTCCCTCGAGCATTTACGTGAGGGCCGACTCGAATTATTCCCTAAATTAAAATGATTATATTGAAATCTAGCTAAAAGTGGATGCTCTATTTAACTTATTTGATTATGTTTGGAGACTAAAAGGTCAAATGACTAAAATATCGGGCTCTAAGAGACTAAAAGTTTAAGGACCTAAATCGATAATTTCTAAAGTTGAGGACTAATTAATAAACCAAAAAACATAATTATTATCTAAATTAACCTATCAAAAATGGACTAAGCCTAAAGTTTTTTTTATATTGGTATCGAGTAGTCGATTCGAGTAATCAGGAAACTTATGCGAAAACTCGGCTCGAATTACTCCCTAATTAATAACTATAGTGTTGTCCTAATTTCTAAGTCTGATTCGAATATTAACCTAATCTAAGAACTATAAATATAAGGACCTAATTGCATGAATATCGAATTACCAAGCTCAAAACAAATAAATTAGACATACAATAGGGGCTAAATTAAAACAAATCAAAATTTAAAGGTGAAATCGGAATAAAATAAAAAGTGGTTTAGGGACTAAAATGTAAAAACACACAAAACTACAGGGACTAAAGAACGAATTTACCAAAAACTATAAAAGGCATACAAGAAAAGGGAAAATTATAATTTTAAACCCTACAAGACAAGAATGCAAAATACGCTAAAATAATAGGGACTAAACATCAATTTTTCAAAAATTACAAAGCACAAACTGAAATGGGTAAATTATGAAAAAGGTCCCTTCTAGTGACCATTTTATAAAATATGCGAATCATTGGGGGACTTAAGAGCAATTTTCCCAAAAATATTTTATAAAAGAAAACTTTTTCCTTTTTTATATTTATTTCATTTATTTAATTTTTTTTAGAGAGATAAGCTTGGATCCCAGATATCGCGTCGCCGTCCGGGCCGCTGCTGGTCGTCGCGCTACCGCCGAAGGCCGTTGGCCACCAAAATTTACCGGGAGACTCGTCTGAGGCTCGTTGTCACAGATATAAGCTCGGTTTTGCACGAAACGACCTCCAACATCGTGAAAATGGCCAAGACCCCTCGGCTTTCCTGTGCTCCGATCTCCCTTCTCCGCCGTTGGATCAACCCGATTTTTTTAGTATGTTGCTCCCTTCCTCAAGGCGTTCCCCCTCACCGTTCAAATTGGTCGAAGAAGACCCCGATCGCCAGTGAGGCTCCGACCGAATGTAAGTACTCTCATTTCTTGTTTTGGTTGCTGTTAAAATAGTTTCATTACTCTATTTGGTTTATTATTTTTGAAATAAAAATGCTTGTTTGGTGGGTTTTTTTTAATGAAGTAAAAAAGGTGGAAAATGAAATAGATTGGTATTGCTCAAAAGAAAAAAAAACTTTTTTGTATTCTTTGTATTGCTTAGAAAAGAAGTTATATAGTGTTTTTTTTTAGAATCACCCCCGATTTACTGTGTATACGTTTGGATTTTATACCCGTTTACAGAGAAAATAAAAAATGATTATGTTTTGTTTATTCTCTGTTGTTTGTTGCAGAAGTTGAGTGAAGCTTGGCATACGTGTTGGAATGGCAACCCCTTTGCCTGGGGGCAGAGAACGACAATAGTTGATTGGGGGATTGAACGACCACCTAAGGCTAGGGTTAGACTCGGGTTGGGTCTTGGCTTGGGGCCCGGGTTTTAGGCTTAGTTAGGTTTTGGATTTTATTTTCTAGTTGGGTCTCGGACTGGGCTTGAGGCCTGTTTGTAAATGGGTTTGGGTATTGTTTGGATTGGGTCTTAGTTTGGGTTATGAGAGAAAAATGGTGATTACAATACATATTTATTAATATTATGATTAATTTAGATATTGTATAAAAAAATAAAATTTTACTAATCATAATAGTTAATAAATTGTAATATTTTTCATCATTTTTAAAATTTATTTTTGAATACAAACATAAGATCCAGGGTAAAATATAATAATCTTGATAAATAGTAAAAAAATTATGGTTGACAAATTCTAATAACATGTACAAATCAATATAATTGACTTACTAAAAATATATCAATATTATGCAATAAAGATGACAATGGACTCCAATAATTCTGATAGTTATATATTTTTTAAAAGAGAAAATAACCTCAGTAATTGAAAATGCCTTATAATATATGATTTTAATTAATTTTTTTTGGATTTGTCAAAATGACCAACAAAATCGCAACGCGAACTCTAATTTTTCAACTCAGTTTCCAAATTCGCAACGCGAATATCCAGATTCGCAACGCGATTTTGAAAAATGTGTTGCGATAGTTAAAATGTGTTGCGAGAGTTTGAAAAACGTGTTGTTGCGATAGTGAAAAATCCAAAATAAGTTTACATTTTAACTATTCCAAATTCACGTGGAGTTTGAAACAATAAAGAATGTGTTGCGATAGTGTAAAAGATTCCCAAGTCATTTGTAAGATCTTAGTTTGAAACAATAAAGAATGTGTTGCGATAGTGTAAAAGATTCCCAAGTGTTTGCAATGCTCAATCCCACATAGTATTGGAAATACTATTGGGAATGGGTATTTAAGGTTTGGATTTCCTACTTTCTTGTTGAGTGGAAGAGAACAAGGGGGACTCTCGCGCACCGCCGCCGCCGCCGTCCCGTCCCGTCTCGGGGTCGTGGTCGTGGTCGTGGTAATACGTGTCTTCGACACGTCCGCGTGGATACTATTTTTTTAGAAAAAATTCTTAAGAAACAAATGCAATACCATCAGTCGTTCGAATTTGAAAAATCGCAACGCGAACTTCGACTATCGCAACGAATTTGGCCTAACGTCAATTTGGAAAATCGCATTGCGATTTTGTATTATCGCGTTGCGATTATGTATTATCGCGTTGCGATAGTCAGAATCGCGTTGCGATAGTCAGAATTGCGTTGCGATA